CTATTCTATTCTCTTTATTCTATTCTATTCTTTCTCTTCTATTCTCTATTCTATTCTCTATCTTCTATTCTGTTCTTATTCTATTCTATATCTTCTATTCTATTCTCTACTATTCTATTCTATTATCTTTATTCTACTCTATTCTATTCTCTTTATTCTATTCTATTCTTTCTCTTCTATTCTCTATTCTATTCTCTATCTTCTATTCTGTTCTTATTCTATTCTATATCTTCTATTCTATTCTCTACTATTCTATTCTATTATCTTTATTCTACTCTATTCTATTCTTTCTTTCCTATTCTCTATTCTATTCTATTCTCTATTCTATTCTCTATCTTCTATTCTTTTCTTATTCTACATCTTCTATTCTATTCTCTATCTACTATTCTATTCTATTCTTCATTATTCCATTCTATTCTATTCTATCTTCATTCCTTCTATTCTGTTCTCTATTCTATTCTCTATTCCATTCCCTATCTTCTATTCTATTCTTATTCTATTCTATATCTTCTATTCTATTCTCTATCAACTATTCTATTCTATTCTATTCTATTCTATTCTATTCTATTCTATTCTATTCTATCCTATTCTATTTTTCACTAGCTGTACCCAGCCACGCGTTGCTGTGGCTGAGTCTGGTTAAATGGAAAAGAAAGAATTGGAAATTTGGAAATCGTAAATGGATCGTCAATCGGAAACATTGAAATGGAATCGTAAAATCGTAGCGTGTGTTGCTTTTACGTTCTCTATCTTCTATTCCTATTCTATTCTATATCTTCTATTCTATTCTCTATCTACTATTCTATTCTATTTTATTTTTCATTATTCTATTCTATTCTATCTTCATTCCTCCTATTCTATTCTATTCTATTTTCTATTCTATTCTCTGTGGGAGCTCCCACCCTCTGGAATGAGCTGCCCCCAGAGATCAGGGTGATCCCTGATCTCCCTTCCTTCCGCCGCGCCCTCAAGACATGGCTGTTCCAACAAGCGGGACTGGCCTAGGATAATTTTTAAGAGGGGTTTTTTAGAGGGTTTTTAATTACTTTTTAATTAGACAATTTAAATATTTCATTTTAAT